AGGGTAAGGGAAGCAAAGGAAAAGTATATTTGGTATTGCTCATCTGAGCAAGATTGCCATTTTGCTCCCCATGGCTCGCACTTCTATGTCTCCAGCATCTTGCCAGGCTCCTGTCTGCCTCTAGGAAAGCAAAGCCTTGAAGGACTCTTTCACCTTTGTCAGGCAAGAGGACTGCACTCTCCCCTTTTTATCAAGAACCTGCTCAGGCTTTCACTCTGGACACTCAAATGGCAGCCCTGCGCAAGCATCTACCTTTTACCTGTCAGTACACCAGAGCCCAGAACTGTCAACAGGCAGTCACTCATTCCCCCAAGGAAACGCTCTTTGCCACAGCCTATATCCCAGCCAGTTCTTCACACCTGTAACACAGTCCTTGCTTTGGGTAACCCTGGAAAATTCACAGGGTGGCTTTTTTATGGCTCTGATTAACTGGCAGGCACGATGCCACGAAAACAAGACACAGGCATTGGTGAAAGAAAGGATGAGAAAGGAGTCAGTCATGCAAACCCTACCCAGCTTGAGAAAAATCTGCCTGCCTCAAGACTTGCGATAGCCCCTGGCATTTCACAAGCTGATAAAATATCTTCACAGCTGTAGGGAGACTTGTGTCAGAACAAGAGTAGGAACGGGAACTCTCCCTGGTTCTCTTTATTTCAAGTAATCAGTTTATATTCAGTTAGGTTATTTCCTCCTAATACAACAAGTCATTCCTCAATATGATTATTTAAGTTATTAACTTCACTTTCTCTGTCTGCTCATTAACCAATCTGAATCGCCCAACAACCAAATCTTATTTAAACAAGTACTTTAAATAACTTCTCGAAAAAGCCTCTTTCCCACCCTTCACCAGAATAAAAAAGACGACAAATATATGGAATAATCTAAGTTATTTCAGCAAAAACGTTACTCTGCTTAAAAGAAGCAGCATTTATTACTCCATGCTGATGAATTCCATACGTATCAGCGGTTTCAGCAGTTTTGCCTCAGATAAGTTCTCCCAGTGGCACGCTGACTGATTAAAATGCTCAACACACCTAGTCCCTTTGTGTATCAAGAGGGCATTAGCTGGGGTTTAAAAAAAAAAAAAAGAAAGAACATTTTTCCTTTCATCTAGGAACCAGAAGAGGACAGCCATTTCACCTAACCTTCCTTGACCTATACTTTAACACAGGTTCCTGGGAGCATTTCTGGTTATTTCTCTTTTTCAAATTGAGCCAAGGCATTCCCATGTTGATGTTACAGTTGAGCCGGCAGCCTCTCACCTGCACCAAGGGTGGTTTCCAGCGCAGGTTCTTTAGTGGAGCGGGAGTAAAATGGAAAGAGCCAGTGGGACGTTTCTTAAGCAGCAGCCTAACTCCAGCAGGATTCTCTCGCAACTTTGCCACCAGATTTTTTAGTTGCCATCCAACCTGGAAGAGAATAAAGACATCTTTCATTTAGTATTGCTTTTCTGAAAGCAAACAAACAAGAAGAAAAAAAATCCCCCCAAGTCAAACTGTCTGCTTTAACATGAAGTTAAAGAGAGAAAAGAGATGCAAAAAAGCCAGAATGAAGAAAAAATTGGAAAGCTCCTTTTTTTGGAAAGATATTCTTTGTTCTGTTTCAAAGAAAGATCTCTACTTAAGCTGTAAATTGAACTCTGAGGTTTCAAGAAATGCTCTTTATGCCTCAGCTCCAGTCCTAAAAGGATGCATGGATGTGCTCAAATTGAGTAAGAGATTTACAGTGAACTACTTCTGTCATGTTTCTTTCTCACATTGAAAGGCTTTGCTTATCTATGCTAAGCAAAAATGTAATCTTTTCATTTAAGTTCCCAGGTGCAAATGGTTTGACAAATATTGGGGTTTTTTAAAGCTGTTTTTATCTGAATTCCAGCAGATTGTAACAATGCATTTTAAATCAGGCCTTGAATACAACATGTAGTATATTACTATGATGCATACAGCGTTCAAACACAAAATATTGCATATTTTTGTTATCAAAACATTGCAAAGAATTCATTTTAAGTCCAAGTAAAATTTGTCTTGAAAGCAAAATGTTAAAAAGCCTCAAAGATTTCAACAGGAAAACACCAGAACCATCTCCTGACCCCATCCATTCAAAACCCGTGGGGAGCGAGCTTTGGGGAGCAAGCATAAGGGAAGATTGGTAAGGCTGTTTGTTACTAACCACAGTTTGCCGATTAACCTGGATCACTTCATCACCAGCATGAATCTTCTGAGATCGATCAGCAGGGGACTATAAAGAGGAAAACAAGAGGCATGTGCTTCAGCAGGTTTTCTTCCCTCCCATAACAACCCCCACCAAGCTAAGTCAAAGGTTGTATCTATAATGAAGAGCATTGCTGAAAATTTTCACAGAGCTAGATCACATATTACCTCCGTTGATGACTTGGCAAATGCAAAACAAATTCAACTTGTGATTTATTTTTTATACTGGGAAGAGAGAAGGCACAGCCTACATCTGTCACAGGTCAAATTGTACTTAAATCAGAGGATGGTCTCCACTGTCCTTTTGCTTCCAGTTTGTACTGTAGTTTCAGACAGCAACGGGAGAGGACTGAAGACTTCTGACCTAACAGAGCAACTATCTTAAACATAGCTTTCAAATAAGTGCATACTGATTTAAAAAAATACACTAAGATTTAGAATGTACAGAACAAAGGTCCAAAAAACCCTCCAACCCACAAAATAAATCCATTTCACTTTCTCTTTTTGTTTCCTAATGTAAATAAGGGATACCGACTTTAATGTGGAATTGCTTGCATCATCAAGGTCAACAGATAAAACATATGCTTGCAGACATCAAGTGTGTGAAGACAGCTATTTTTCAAATACCTATCTAGTAAAAATACATCTTAAAATGCAGTCTTCTTAGAACAAAAACCAAGCTCAGGGGAACCATTAGCGAGGAACGGCTAAATGTGTCAATATTTACATTTATCTACAGCTGGTGCCATGCACCAGCTATCACTGCAGTTATTAAAACCAGTCTCACTACTACAACACACCAACTCTGACCAGCCTTGACAACACCCAAAGCACACAGGCAGAGTACCTTGGCATATTGCACCCTGGTCATGGAACAACTTCTCCCACTCCCCCCACCCCATGAGTAAACACCTGGCACCGGGCCAGCACTTCCTAATGACTCCAGAACTAAGCACCTGAATCTCATCATCACACCTTCAGAGCTCAAGTAATTTTTTTATTAGAAGGAATAAACAGTGCAACAGGGAAGACAACATGGAGAAATTTGTGGGAGGCTCCAGCTATCGTGAGTAACCCCATTTCTTCATTGTCTTCTCACTTCCTCCAAAAGGAAATGCCTCTGTGGAAGGCTGCATATATATGAGTCAACCAAGATCATGAAAAAAATGTTGGGCCAAAGTCAAGTTTGTGAAAAACAAAGCTCATTTCAAGCTGTCCTTTGGGTGATCAACAGCCTGGCTGGAGGAGGGTGGGGGACCCTTGCACAGAGGACTCCTACAACAAGTGCCAGCTAGCACAGCAGACACTGCAATCACATTGTGAGAACGGAGAAAAGAACAAAGTTTAGGTCTAGGCCAACGTGATGCGAGAAGTCACAAGTAGGACAGCACAACTCAGGAATCCTCTTAGCTGACTGGTATCAATGGACTTGCTCAGTTCTTCCAATGTGCAGTACTGTTAATTTTGGGGTGCAATTCCACTGCATTCCAACACACTGGCTTCTGGGATTAGCTACTACAATAACATTCTGAACCCAGCAAGAAAACTGAGCCAAGACCCAGCCTGATCCCATGCCACCAGAAAAATCAGTTGTTTGCAGCTGTCTGTCACTTCTTAAGCTTTGTTGCTCCAAAGGAAAGAGCTTCCCAAAGGAAGAGCCAGTGTTCAAAAAAAAGTGGAAGTTTAGGTCAACGCTCAAAGCTATAGAAGCAATATAGCCCCATTCCTAGTGTCCAAAATGAGATCTAGATGCACAGGAAGCTTGGCAGCACCAAATGTTACATTCTTTTGCATTTATTGGATGTTGAAATTGCTGACAAAGTGGCCTCGGTCTACGTTTCAGACCCTATACGGAGTTATGCCAGGGCAATAGCATAAAAGACTTCAGTTTTCACTCTGAACTGCAAGCAGAGATTTCCACCCACTCCTCCCTGGCTCCTGGACTTGGCAGGGGTACAACTAGAACCACTGGTTCTTTCCTATTCACAAAAAAAAAAAAAAAAAGAAAGCATCACCGCAAAAGCCGACTTCCTTTGCTCCTTTTTCTTTCAGCCACTGCTCCAGTGGAGCAGCATGTCTGACAACACGGCATCACCCGCCAGCCTCAGCTGCTGGCCAGAGGTCCACTGCAATGACTGCCCAGAAGCCTTTAATAAAGTCCCAGCTACAGAGAACTCACAGTGTAAGAACAAAACAAGCAACCATCTGCAGCAAAAAAAAATAGTTGCCAATCATGCCAACCATTTCCTTCCAACAAACCACTCAAAGTCTTAATTTTTCACAGTCTTTTTTTTTTTACAGTGCAAGGTAATTTTGTCACAGGACAGCTCATTGATTTCATTACTCATTACTGAATTTAGCACAGTACCACCTAAACTTTCCCATTAGAGGAGATTGCCTTTGCCAATGAAGAGCAAATACGTTTAGGACTTTGTTAAGCAAGATACCATAAGCACTCAAAACAGAAGATACAGTAACTTATTAAAGCAATTATTTTAATGCCAAGTGTTTGAACTAACTCATGTACTTGCAGAAACTCGTTTAATTAGATTAAGAGTGAAACATGCAGACACAAATATTTACAAATTGTGGCTAAACAAATGATGCATAACAATATTTAAAGTAGTAATATCATGAAAGTCGTATGTAAAGCAGGAAAAAGCAGTAAAAAAAGTCAAACTAACTCAAAGCTACTGTCAGATAGCCTGAGTTAATCTACATTTACTTCACTTACGTTTTCTGTAGTTCCAGTAATTACATGTAATCCATCATAAGTTGATTTGATGTACATTCCCTAAATGTAAGCAGAAAATGAAAACCAACTTTAAAGGCAAAAAACCCACTTAACTTACCTGATTAAACAACTGCTGGCAACAGACTCAAAACATTATTAAAAACACTTAGTTCACACGTTTTTCCCTAGAAAAGTGTATGGTCTAATATTACAACATTCTAAACATCTTCACAGATCACTTTTACTGTAATTAATTATAATATTTATAATGACTTAAAAAAACTAATATGTGGAATGCAATTTAGAAACACCGTCTCATTGGTAATACCAAACACTGCTGGTTTGGCTGCCTTGTCAGCCTTTGACCTTAAACAAAACTTTATTTCCTTACTGCCCTGTCTGCACTAGGGAATTACAGGTTTTACTAGATGGGTCACCAGATCTCTCTATACAAAGCACAGGTAACACACAGGTTGCTACAAATATTGCCTACATGTTCTTTTACAATTTCTCTTGGCAAGTCAATACACAGACTGCCTTGTAACCACAGTGCTGACATAAGCAATAAAAGCTCTGGCAGAATTAAGTATCTGTGGCTCTATACAGTAATGCTGAGTGCACATGCGAGGACAAATACAGATGAAGTGGGTGTTGATCATACAAACACCAAATTAAAAATCACCAACAGTCTATTAACTAATAATTGCATAGATTTCCCCACAAGAGGTGACCAGTACATTGGTTTCATCATTTATGAACAAATACATCTCTACTTTTCCTACCCACATCTGTTGTTAGAAGCACTCACACTGAGCTGGACAGAACTGGATGTTACTCATCAGTCTTAAGCAGATTATCTGCCTGAATTTACCACACTTGCTTAGAAGTACAAGGAAAAAAGCAATTTTTTTTTTTTTTGCCCCTTCCTCTACAGCCAATTCTCTTCCCTGTTTGCCTGTCAGTAGCCAATTGTGTGCACTTAATTCCTCATTTCTTATTTAGTCCAAGCCAGGCTGACTCTGCTTCTTTGTAGCTTATGCATTAACAGAGAGGTCCCCATAATTTCAAGAATGCATTCAGTCAAATCCAGTGGCCATCATAAAACTACCTAGCACCATCAGACTTTAAAGCTTCCCCTGAAAGTGTTCATCTCTTCTGCCTTCGGGACCAGGAGGGGAATACAAATGCATTTAAGAATTTCAGTTCCCTCCAACTCATTTTAACATGTCTGTTCCCCAGCCAGAAAATCCACCAAGATTTCAAACCCAGTTTCTTATAACCAGCACTGACCTAAGTAGCATCCACTGAACAGACTAGATTCAGTAATATCATACGACTGAACATTTAAAAAGATTTCTCAAATTCCTGATAACAGCAAACCTCAAAAATCCTCATGTTCTTCACAAGCTTGCTATAAACACACACACAAAAGCGTGTCTTTTAGAAATACAAACACCATTTCTTATTACCTTCTCCCTCCCCCACCTGAAAACCAGCTGGTTAAGGTAACCTGCAGAAATAAAATGTCTGATTTCACAAACATCTGTAAAATGCCCTGATACTCCGGTTAAGACACAAATCTGCAACACTTCACCATCAAAAATTATATTTGGGATCAAACATATTAACAAGCATACCCATGTCTGGCAGCCACTCCAGCACACCACCTGACAATTAACCCACACCTCTTTGTTCCCCACATGATATTAGTAGTTTTGAAATATCTTGCTATACACACACACACAGGCTCACAAGACTACCTATTAAACACTGAGGACATCAGGACACTCTAGAATCACTTCTTACCAGGCCTTCCCCAGGTTTAATGTTGGTTAAATGAACCTCCTCCAGACACGCACACTGGCTCATCAATGGATCTGTAGTTGATCGGATGGCTTTATCGCAAATGCCATTTAAAGTCTTGGCCTACAATGAGAACATCCAAAAAACAGTTACAAAATTTCTCTCCTGACCTCTTCCTCTTTCAGTTTTCAAAAATGGAAACAAAATGAGTTCTAACACTTGGTCCACTAATAAAGCATAGTTAAGAATCACCAAAATAGATGATGTTTGTATAGATCTGCTCTACAGCATGTCTATCTTCATACTATAACAGACAACCTGTTTCCATTAGTGTCACCTCATCATCGCTAACAGATGCCAACACACCCTCTGTTTAGAAAAAACAAACACACAAAACATAGCAAAAAAAAAAAAAAGGGTTTGAGGTTTGTTTGCTGTAACCAAAATCTAACCCATTAAATTAGAGAAACACTGATGATTCCTTGTGGGACCAGTTGACAGTTTTTCAAGTTGTTCTTTATTTCTGCTATGAGAACAAAATTGGCCGTGTGTCACAAAAAAAAAATTAGATGCTGGTCACTGACTTATCTATACAAAGCTTTACAGTATAAGATAGGACATCTACCACTTACGCAGTTCAGCATTACTTCTCTCCACTGCGCCTCTGAGCTGACCTCTTCTGGAATGCTTACATAGGCAAGGTTCATATTTCCTTTTGACCAAAACATAATTGATCCTAAGCCAACATTATAACTAAAGGCAAATTTTGACTTTGTGTATGTGTGTGTCAGTAAAGTTAGAGGCAGAATGGCTTTGTCTTGTATAACTTTTAACTACCAGAATGACTAATTAATCAGAAAAAAACCCATCATAGTCAAAAATCTGTGCTGTCCCTACACTCACAAGTTTCACTAATGCCCCACAGTGTGTTCTGGGTCTTGACATTGAATTTCAACATTGCTTCAGTTAAAGTAGGTTACAAAAGCTTAAAGGAGAGGAAAGGAGGATCAGGACACAGTACAATAGTTAGCTATACACAATTTGGGAGCCAGCATGGCAAGCCACCTTTCACAACAGGTTTGAATCCTTCATACGTAATTACAGGGCAGGGGGAGCTGTCTTGTAGGAAGACATTGGTCTGGATTACAATGGTCCCGGGAAACAATAGTTGCAACGGTTTTTGTTTTGTTTTGTTTTACATGAGATTTATAGAGCAACAATAAAATAAATCAAAACAATGCCTAAGTGTGAATGTGAGGAACTGCTCAAACAAGGGAACTCCAAACAACAATACCTACTTCCAGAGTGGGTGTACACAAGTGGAAAAAGAAAGACGCAAAAAAACCTCCCTTTTACGTGGTCTCATTATTTACAGACAAAATTATTTTTAGTTATTGTGCTACTAAATTCCTAAGCATCTATGAGCTAGCGGAAGGCCTTATCAAAGAGCACAGCCTGGTTCATGTCAAAAGCAGGAAGCGATGATTAACTGTTACAAAATATAAAAAGCATTCCATTACTCTCCTCATTTGGTCACAAGGCTGCTTCGAACAACCCTGAAAATTCACATCTTTCAAGCTCAAGTACAATCAGAGACAGAACTTCAGTTCTGTGGCAGGGCAGTTCTGTTACATGAAGAAGCTTAATAAGGCATAGTGTATGCTTATTAAGGCACTAAATGCACATCACAGGCATAATTGGTTTATTTAGCCTATGATCTTTCTGCAGTACTACCCCTCCCTTGAATATTTGAGGTCTAAATTCTCTTGAAAAAATAGCCATGCAACGAAACTTCAAGGAATACTTGACTCCGTGCCATAACACATACTACCCATCTGTTCAAATTTCATTGATTTTCTCTACAGTAAAGAATATTCACAAAATGGCCCATAACAATGTTTACTTGCATGATATGCTTGTATGTGTGGGATTGAAAATTGTCAGTGCAGTCAGCGTAAAAGTCACTGAAATAAATGTGAATGCAGGCAGCTGAGTTTCAACAGAAACATGTACTTACTACAGTCTGAACTTTATCTTCCATGTCAGCCACAGTGCAGTCCTAAAAACAAAACAAGAACAAAAGCCCTACATTAACCAATAAACATGTAAACACACCATCTCTGAAAATGCTGCAAAACTGCCACTTTAACCTCAAACTGAAATAGAGATATTTATGCTGCAGGGATTAATCAGATTAGTTTCACCCAGTAGGGCTTAAATGTACTGTTAAACAACTATTTTCTGGCTGTGGTAGAAAGCAATAATAAACTTTGAAAACTAAGAGAACATGGGATTCAATTACAGCAGCAGATTCTTCCAGAAAAGCAGAACCCTGCACAATGAAACTAGACTCTTAGAAGGCCAGGCACACGAGCTTGCCTTATACCGATAAACCCTGACTCAGGCACTCCTCTGTCCCAGGCAACAAAATGAATATAAAATAAACTGTTAAAAATAGCAAGAAAAGTGATTTTTAAAAATATGCTATCGATGGCACTCCTGAGGGCCAGAGGACTGCATACAAAGCATTATTTACACAGCCCAGGTACAAAAGCCTTTGAACTGAAACAAGTTCATGTAACAGACTACAGAAGTCATCATTGTTTTCTGCAAGAGCAGCTGAGCTAGAGAATGCTATCACATTCTCAGATTAAAAAGTTAAAACAGTAAGTAAGTAATGAAACATGATTTACAATATCTACAAGGAGAAAACCCCCAAATCCCAAGCATTTAAACAAGCTTCAATTCCAAGGTATTTCCCATTGACATCAACCTGCATAACTACCACAGAACACCCGAGAAATGCATCCAGGAGCTGTGAATTGAGGCTGTTCCATATTTCTAATCATCCTCAGCACTTTTTCTGTTCCTTCCTAGCTCTACTCTGTGCTTTTAAATACAGAAATCCCTCCCCCAAAAAAAATGTCCTCCAGATATGGACACACCAGGGATATATAAAATAGCTCAGTTATGTTCTCTTTTATATTTTCATAAGTCTTAACACCCTGTTCACTGTTTTAATGACCACCAAGGACTGAGGTCACACTTTTTATATTCTGTCACCAAAAGCTTCAAGACCTTTCCTGAACACCACTACAAAGTTTAGACTCCATTGTTGTGCATCAGTATAGTTTTTCTCTGCTAAACTCACTATTGATTCATGCAGATGTATGTCACCTATCATCATGCAGCCCAGTTGCTCAATATTGCAAAGTCCTTCTGCTCCTTTTCATTTCTATTTACACTAGTTATTAGTTTAAGCCTTAAGTTTGCCATAAAACTTTAGGAAACACTGGAGTAAACTCTGTTCCTTTTAACTGC